TGTGATCAGGGGGACGGAACACCTCTCCTGTGAGGAAAAGCTGAGAGAGTTGGGGTTGTTCACTAGAGAAGAAATGTTTTACGCTGAGGGTGGTGAAACACTGGCACAGGTTGCCCAGAGGTGGTGGTCCAAGCCAAACTATTCTATGATTCTATGACATGTGTAGTTTCATATTTATTAACTTATATATCAATAATATATAAAATATTAAGCACTTTTAGACATCATTTTTGCAAAAGCTCCATTGTCTACTTTTGTTGACGGTTTTCTGGAAGAAAATGCAATGAATAAGAGGGAGAATCCACAGGTAAAAGGCAGAATTTCAGATTAATATGGATCATCTCTATAAACTGTTGTTATTTTAACTTTAAAAAGAAAGCTCTACAACCTATATGTACTCCCAATATATGTACTTATATATGATTAAGCCACTTCAGCACAAACATCTCTGCAGAAGAACTTCTAAGGCAGTCATATTTCAGAAACTCTCAAAGTACCACCCCAAAACCTAACTTAAGCTGAGGGAATGACTTCAGGTATGAACACATGAATGCGATAGCTTATGTACCCACTGCAAAAATAAAGATAGAGCCACGTATTCAGAGCATGTTCAACTTGAGGCATGGCCTTTCACAACCCTGCTCTCAATCCTGGAAGACTGGAATCCATCACTTTATTTGATCAGACTACAGCTTAACAGTAGTTGGAATTACACAGAAGATCTTCCACTAACAAAATTTAGTTTTCTTCTTTTGCCAGACCATATGGGTACTGAGGGCATTTGCACAACGCTAAGAAGCATCAGGTCACCTTCAATGCCTCTAGTGAGAGAAACCCGAAGTGAGAGAGGAACAGGCGTGCTGTCTGGAACTCCTGTGCCGGTGGTGGGGGCTTACACTCCGTGATCGGATCAGGAAAGCTCTTCTTCCGCCACTCCTCTTCACTTTTCTGATCTATGGAAGTCTCAAAAATAATCTGCTGAGCCATGCCATTCCTCAGCTTCTCGTGTCGCTCTTCGAGCTGAAAAACATTGCATGAAATGGTGATTCCACCAAGATCACTAAGATCCACTAAGAAAACAGCTCCATCATTTAGGAAAGTTGTAAGCCACAGGCAGAGCAGCAGCTGCAACTCCACCACCAGGATGTTTACTAAAGCACTATCAAGACGACCTTGCAATGTTACAAAGTGAACATCTAAACACCCTGTTTGCATGGGAGAGCTGTTGCAAATTTATGTATCCAGTATCAGCTACAGCTTCTCCCTTTCAAGTGAACAGAAACTAAAACACATTTGGCACTATGAAACTTTAAAATATGTTGGAGATACACACCCTCCTCCTCCCCCAGGAGGTCTCAAAAAAGCCCCTTCCATTTCCCCAGAAGTAGCAACAAAATGCAAGTCATTGCTTCCTAGCAATACCAGGATATTAGGATCTGTAACAAAACATGTTGAGCAGCGCCTCCCAAAAAACACATCAAAGCATTGTCATCTTCCTGGAGAAGTGCACAGATTTCATTAGTTAGCAGAGGTTATTATTCTATTAATATGAAATTAGTCAAGCTAAAGAGTAAAACTATATACAGTAAGACATTAGTGTATGATTCATGAACAGACAAAAAACCCCTAAGAACAAAATTAACTCAGAGACTAAGAGTTACTTACTTCCTCATTCACAATTTCATGTAAATCTGGAATGCTCAAGTCAGCTTTCACAAATGGGATCTTGTCCACTTCTTCAGGAAAAGGGCGGTGCTTCACACTGTATTTCAATCCAACATCATTTTTAGGAGCTGGTCGAGGTTCTGGTACAAAAGTCTGACAAAAAAGGGGGACAGTTTTTACATTCAAGGCATCGTAACACTAGACAATACTTTATTACAATAGATGGAAAACGTTTACCACCACCACCACCAGTACACTAATCCATTACTGAGAGGTATCACTAAAAAGCATTCAGTAAGTACTTTAAACTAATAGACTTGTATTAAAAATGTGGCTGTAAATTTTGAGACACAGTTTGCCCATTTTGGTGGCTGCACTCCTGGAACCTATGAACCCTACTTACCACCTAATCTCTAAGCACTTGCAAATCCCCCCAAAAAATGGCAAGCTTACATGGCAACTTATTTTCAGCCCATTCTAACTGTATTGAGCGAAAGCTACCAGCTGTTTGAGAAGCCTCCATTTTAACCCTGCTGACTATGATGATCACAAGTCAAGCTGAGAAGTCCTGGAAGAGAACAGCAGCAATGCTGTGGGTCAGGAGAGGGATGCACTGCCAGAAGATCAAAAGGGCTTGCATAATGTATCATACTGAAATTCTGACATTGTTACTACATTATGTTCTAAACCGTTAGTCTGTAATTCAAAACTTGAAGTTACCAGTGAAAGCAACAAAAGATCTAGGTGCAGGTTTGCAGGTGCATAAGGTCCAAGCAAGCAAGACCTTTAATTACATCTTGAGTGCCGCTTTATAAATTTATTTACTACCAATTAAGCTTCAAAAGGACAAAGCTGTTAACATTAAAGTTACAGAATGCCTTAAGTTGGAAAAGTTCCCTTAAAACTGGTAAGGAAGTCGGCAGCCAGGACATGACTTCTCCTTTGGTGTGGGAGGTAGCACACTTGGACTGACACTATTTAGTGAAATGGCTCAGCTTCAGTGACAGCACAGCTCCAAAGGCATCACGTGGAGGTCTTCACAAAGGCTGCTTTGCAGAGACCAGATTCATCCAAATGTGAACGTGACAGCTGAGACGGACAGGCCCTCATTTCAGCTACATTATTATTTACTTTATTTTGCTGAGGGGCTTGTGAAGAGTTCGAAGATTTGGAAAAGTTCACAAACAGACAGGAATTTTGATAACAGGACATGCTCCACTAGACAACTGCAGTAAGAGATTTTACTGTAAAATGAGATTGGGGTATTTCTCCTCCAATATTCCTCTCCAGAGCTGTTCCAGAGTTCATCTGGATAATTTTTTTTTCACAGCAGGTTTACAGCCATCTTTGCAACACTGGGCTTTGTAGCTTGAATAGCTGTTCTCCCTGCAGCATCTCATTCTACACCTCCAGACTTCGCTGCCTCTGCTGCAAGGGCTTTGCCCGAGATCCTAAAATCAGCACCAACACTCATGCCTACACACTAAATACACTGTCCATTGCCCCATCACCTCAGAAGATGCTTTCAAAAAAAAAAAAGAGAATGCCCCCTCCCCTTAAACAAGTCTAGAAGGCAACAGCGATTTCACAGCCTGTATTTAATATTAATCACAAGTCGTAAAGAGTCACCAGAGATGTGTCACATTACCTACAGCTAAAGGCCCCGTGGCTCAGCCTTAATGTATAATCACCAGCTCTGTGGGGCTGTCTCACATTAGTGGAATTTCTGCTGAACATCTCTAAGTTAAAGATTTCTTTACGGGCTTTGACAGAGACCTTTTGATTTGCTTTAGCTCCTCTTGGTAAAAGACAGAGTTGCTGGGCCCATGCAAATCTTCCAGATGTCCCACGGATCAAAACCGTGACAGAGGGGAAAGAGTCATCTGCAAAGCACATGGGTTAAGAGAATAATACATCATCATAAATTGCAAACAGTTCACTGTGCAATAATTTAACCAGAAAGAAATGCAGGCATGATGACAGAGATTTTGTTTTCAGGGTTAACTCCTCCCTGACCCCGAAGACAATTCCTGGTGAGGAGAAGCAATCCTCCTCTCTGCAGCAGGGAAGTACTAGTCTACTTTGTGGTCTGTTCAGTAGTTGCCAGCTCAGTTTCATCATTAAAAGTAACTTTCATCCAAATTCATGCAGATCACTGTTTCTCTCCAAATTATCTCCAGGAAATGAAAAAAGATTGTCCAGCCACTGCCTGTTTAGGTAAGACAAATGACCATATGGAGACAGTTTCCATGATACTTCCATGACCTTCTGGTAAAGGTCCCACACAAAACAGCAGCAGTAAGAACAGTGGAAGGACAAGAGATAATGGTCAAACTAAGACAGGGGAAGATTCTGACTTCACATCGTGGAAGATTTTTCACCACAAGGAACAGGGACACAGAGAAGTTGTCCTCATAGGTTTTCAAGACCTATTTGGACGATGTCAGGCTGCATTGTCCTGGTCTGAATTCAGTATTGACCTTATTTAGCGCAGGAGGTTAGACTGCAGATTCCTGAGGTGCCTTTCAACTTGCACAATGGTGGTTTTAACACTGCAGAGATTTCAGTCTTCCTTTGAGACTTAAACGGCCACCGATATTAGCCACTTAGAAAAGGGATCATCATACCTCTACAGCTTTTCTTTTGAAAATTATTTATATTTGTCTTTTGTGCACATAAACCACAAATTGACACCATCAGGTAACTAGCAGACATATATTCCTTCCCCAGTATTTCATGGGAAGTCAGGGTGCAGCATAGCTACATAAGCACACATATAGACAAACCAAACCAGCTCCCTACAATCATCCACTTCAGTGATCTGCCTCAAAAGTGATCTGACATACTTGTGCATTACTGCAATTAATCTTGTAATTCAAAGGGGATTTGTAAGCAAGTCATGCACAACAAGATAATCTAATTTGAGATTCTAATAGTTAATCTAATAGGATTCCTCAGTAATGCATTTAGCAGAGGCAGAGTAAGGATGAGAATTGCTCAGCTGTTCTAGCGTGTTCTAATGCATTCTAGTCAGGAACATGCTTGCTCAAATAGACTGTGGGTGGACATGCGGCAATGGCTCCCAGCATAAGCACTTTCTGTAAGATCTGTTTAGTGATTCTCAATGAGGTTGGAGCACTCTGGACCACAACTCAAAGTAACAACTTCTCTTAGCCAGTTCATGAAGTTCTGTGCAACCTCTGTTTTCAAGACTAGTATCTAGACTCCATCCTGTCCATAGATGAGGAAAATATATCTGTGGCAGATCAGATCTAACATACATTAATCGTAAACTGAGGTAGCATATAAGAGAATTTTCATCTATTCTGTTTGGTAATGCCATGATAGATGAAGACTTAGAGGGGGATCAGTTATTCAGTTCAAAGCATCATGTAATTTAATACCAGATTTTTTTAATATGAATTCTTGTTGGTCAAAGCATATGAGGCTGAAACAAGTTAGATTCAGTTGTGAAAGCCAATACCCTGTGATAGGTCTCCTTTACAATAGGTGTAAATTGATAGAACAGGATGGTACACAGGAAAGTTATAACAGCTCCTAAGCAACTAAAACCATTTGAGCTGAAAGCACCCACAGAAACATTTAGTAACAGGAGACCTAAAGCAAGCAAAAGCAACTGTGCAAGCATAAAGATGTCACATCAACCATTTGTTGAGCACTTATCCCTATCAAGCCTCCTATACTCTTTATATTTTCATTCTTTCATGAACAAGGATGTTTTCAAAATGTAATGCTATTGCTTTTGTCCATCGGCAATAATTTAGATGGCAGTCAGCTGCAAGTATCTGATCTAACTGGGTGAAAGACAGACAACTGCATGAACAATTTGGATGGGCTTGAACTTGTTTAACTATCAGTGGCATTAAAGTTATTCCCACCACTTCATCCCAGAACAACACTCTGCTCAGTCGCACACCCACAGAACAGGTAAGCCCCTGAAATGTGAGAGATGCTTGATGAAGCACCTTTGTTTTGCAGCTCCATACAGAGAGTTTTAACCAGAGGCAGAAGGAAATGGGAAGTATGAACTTACTCTGTTCATTCCCTAGAGGCTGCTCCAACATCGCCAGGATGACACTATTATCCAAAACAAAGTAACGGAAGCTATGCTTGTTTATGGTAGGTAGACGAGAATATTTAATTAATGTGGTTTCATTCACCAAGCTGCAAGGAGAAGCAGGGCCACTGGGAGAAGGAAATGCTCCAAGTAACTGCATAATACTGCAAGTGAGAAAAAAAAGTTAAGAGTTATGACAGATTAAGAAAGCGAACTGTTCCACCCAAGCACAGACCTTCACTCCTGTTCTTCATTTGTATCTTGACACAGCAGTTACCCTATCAGGGCAAGCCTGCCCTCTCCCATCAGCTTGTTTTAAAACAGAACCAGTAACTTCAGAAACAAATACATGAAAACCTACAAAGAAGGGTACTCTGCCTACAGAATGAGTTTCTTTATAACCTAGGTTATAAAGATATTAAGATATGCTTTAAAGCATGAAAATCTGTACCCTTCCACAGCTTTTTTTATGTTCATTCTCATAAGAAGATTATGGATGATTGGAGATAATCATCCATACTTTAGCCCACTCTTATATCAACAAGCAAGACAGGGTAGATGCAATAGTTATGATTGTCTTTGCTTTCTTCAAGTACAGATTACATTAACTTAAAACCTTTTAAGAAAGGCCCAGGATCACACAAGCATGACTACCATAGATGGTAACCTTCCCTGGGAGAAAGCCTCCAGGTGTGGTCCAACAGTGCCTACCTCCTTGGAGCCACGGCCTTGGGAAGATCATAGAAGTACCCATTTAAATCATCTGAAGTTGTACAGGATCTACCTAATACTATTAGAAATGGAAAATTTCTATGGCAGGAACTAATAATGAGAGTGGTCCGACTGAAAATCATGTGATCTCAGGACTTTACTCTTAACACCACCACCCAGACCAAAAGTAAGTTTATTGAAGTCCTCCCCACACACTTTTCCACTTTACTCTGAGAACAGATAGTTTCATCTCTCTAAATGAAAAGAGAAACTTTTAGGCAACAATAAAGGTTTGTCCACAATTTCCAATGAGTAGTTGTTTTTACTAACAGTAAAGTTTATAACAATTTTATTGCAAAGCAGAGCAAAAAAGAAAGCAGCTATTGCCTTTTGCAAAACATATTTATCCTACCCATCCTCAATCTGTCCTGTCTACCATCATGCTGTTCATCCAGTAAAACAGTGCTTTTCAACTTCTCTGGAGCAAATCTCAGTTTTCCTCTCTGTGCTTCCCCTCCCCAACCCACACATTATCTGTTACTGCATTTCCAGCAGAACCTCTCAAATATATTAAAGTAAGCCCAATGCCGTGGGCAGAATGACATCCCACCCTGCCCCAGCTTACATCTGCTGCATGTGCCATTCCTTGCTGTGTTACACATGAGAGTGTCTATCAATTTCCCAATCGGTATGGGGATGACGTATCTTGTCGGGCTGAGGATAAGGAGAAGGGGGAATGGAGAGACAGGATCACTAGGTCAAGTGGGAGATAGAGGGAACTGCTGTCTGCAGAGAGGTCTGGCCAAGAACAGAATACCAGGGGCTGCAGGAGGGCTTGGGTTTTGCTCTCCCAGAGCAAAGAGAGGCATGGCAGAGGGGAAGAGAACAGGCAGGAGGGGAAGGCAGAAATCACAAGGATCTTTTTTCTGTTGAACACCTGTAATGGGAGGGGGAAGACAGCTAAGGCAGAGCACAGGAGAACCCTGCCCAAAGGGCAAGACAAAGGGAGCTTCTGCCTGACTTTTCAAATGCTCTTGCTACATCACAGAGATCTCAGCAGCTGGGAACTCCTAATTAAAACACCCTCAGACAAGGCAATGCTAAACAGTAAACATGCTCTGACAAATTACATACCACGTTAGTGTAGCTTCAGCAGCATCCTTCACTCTCATGGATGCAGGGTTTGGCTCCTTATCTCCTTTGTACTTGACCTCTTGTTCACTGCTTTTGGATTTACTTCCCGAAATGCCCAGCTCCACAATCTCCAGTACCTCTTTTAAACAATCCTAAAACACAAGAGGAACCACCTTAAAGCAGAAGCACTCTGATAAATGTCTCCAAGACCTCAGTGAAACAGTAATACACCATCGATTAAAATAAAGTACTGCTGGTAATATGAGCTCAGAAATAAAGGCAGAAGATTATTCTAACAGACAGTCTTGGAATAAGATCACATTTGCTACAGAAATGATATTTTCCCCATCTATAGATGTCTACTCATGTTTGTATTCTAATGGTATAAAATGCTCTGAATGAATATACACAATATATTCCATTACATATGTACAAAATTGCCAAGAGGACTACTAGGAGTTGCAATTGAAAAACATAAACATATTTAAAGAGAATAAATGCATTTCTGAGACTCTCTTCACAACTTTTAAGTTCTAAGCACATTAAGAATGAACTCATCTGGAAAACTGCAAGAAATCCTTCTCCAAATCTTTCAATTGCCAACAGCTTTTCATGAGTAAAATATATCATGGTATCTAATTCATACCATGTATCTAATTCATCCAAAATTATTCATCATTCGAAAAGAACAATAACAATATTCTAAAAGTACACAGCAAAGCTTCAACGAATTTATTACAGGAGAGGCCAACACACAGTAGAACCGCAGGTATGACTCACAGGTGTTGCTCATTACAAAATTGTTTGCTGAAAATACTTGGATTACTACAACAAAAGTTCAAATCTCATGGCTTGAGCTACAGAACAAAGGAAAGTGTTCTCATGAATAAATAAGTGCCTAAAATCTGAACACAAGCGGTCAGTTTTTACCACCAGAGACCAGGCAGGGTTCTATGCCTTGGCCTGTGTCCCTCCTTATATTCATAATTGAAGAGGTGAAGAGGAAGATTAAAAGTTTTCTGACAGAGCAAAATTAATCAGTGTCAAGATGCAAAGACTGGCCATGAAGAATTACAGAAGGCATTTACAGTGTTGGCTAGTAAAACAGCAGGTGAAATTCAAAGCAAATATAAGGTGAGGCACCTGGAAAATTGCAATTCTAATACTTCCAAATGCAATGAAAGGTCCTCACCTGACTATCATGACTCAGGAACAAGCTACTAAGTGTCCAGTATATACAACACACAGTATGCAACACTATCTCAATATGCAGTGATAACAAAAACAAAAAAAGAACCTAATGAAAGGAAGTAAAACATTATGCAGCTGAATAAACCCATGCTGTGCCACATCCAGGGAAACCATCCTGTCCTAGTCACCTACTGCCATGCCAGTACCCCAAAGTGCATGCAGAAAGCATCTTTAAATAAAGTCCTGCTTGTGGGTTTTCAATTTTCTTTTTTTTAATATAAATATTTTTATAGATGCTACAGAGTATATAAACAAAATATAAAGATATATAAAACATATGTTCTATATGAAACTACATTAATATATTATATAATACATATTAATATACATTATATGTAAAAATATAGAAAGATCACTGAGCTGCCTCTGCAAGGAGACCAACAATGAAAATTTGCACTCAAATTTTTTTTTTATTTATTTTTTTGAACAGCAGGACAGAAGGCTGTTGGAAACACGCATCTTTCATTTCCTGCTCTTTTCAAGCTTCCCAAGCAAATTCCATCTTGGATTGAGCCTTGCTCAGTTTCTAGAAAACTGGTTTCTTGGTGAAACAAGCTATGATTATCAAAATATTAGCATCAAAGGAATTCCGTTTTGTCTAGATGATGCTTTTTCAGGTTTTCTTTTCTTCTCTCATTTTCTAGTTTCACAAAGCAAGAAGAAAGATCAAGACATTCTTAGAAATATGAAAGGCAATTTTAAAGCCAAAAACATTCTTGGTGAATAAAGAGCAGAAATCAAAATTCAAAACTATTTTGCATGGAAACCAGTTTTGAAATTCCTAGTATACTTTTGAAAACTAAGAAAACCACATTATTTTAAAGTATCAAGAACAGACAGGTCAGGCACGAAAGGCATTACAATTTGGAGTGCTCGAAATACATACAACCAGAGACTCTTACCTTCTCATCCAGCATGTCGGGGTGCTCAGTGAGCCAGACGCAGAGGCACTGGAAAGCTGCAACGATCATGGAGTGAAGGTCACGGGAGTGGAGCGGGGCTGGGCGGCTGCACTGGTACACTATGTAGCTGCACACTGAACTAATAGCTCTCTTCCGATCAGAGGAATCAACCACCACTTTCACCTGTGTAAAGCAAGCAGGAGAGGATGAGAATTCCTCCACAAAAATCCTTCAGAGAAGAAATCGTTTTTAAAAGCATTTTTAAATGCAGTTTTAAGAAATAGGAATAAATGGTTGAGCTCTTTTATGATTACAGCTTAAAAGCTGTGGGTAAAAATATTTAACAGTGATGGATATTGAAACTTAAAAGAAAGAAATGCTGCATTGAGGTGCCACCACATTGCATGGCTTGGTTTCCAAGAGCAAGAGTGGTACCAATATGGTTTGATAAGAAACTAATTGCGAGCTGAATAAATTAGCATTTAAAACATTTTCAGCAAATACCTCTCTCTCCTTCAGCTATAGCAACCCATTCTGTATCTCTGAGAACCCACTCACTGCCAAGTCTCCCTTCCACGGGGCTTCATTCCGCTCACATAACTTTCCACTAGGCTTATTTTGTCAGCACAGTAACTTTCACCAGTGAAAAGGGACAGAAAACCCACCCTCAGACAAGCATATTGGCAAAAAACTCCATAACTCCTCTCCCAAAACTCACTGCAAAAACCCCTCAGCTTCTCCCCCAACTCAGGGCTTCAGGGAGCAAGGCTCCAGACCGGAGGGTTAGTGAAGAGGTATGTACACTGAGTACACTGAGGCATGAGGATCTACATTATAAAACTAAAGAACTGAAATTCTCTTCTCTTTTCTTCCCAACCTGTAACTTGGCACAGGAACAGTCAGTTAAAGGTGGATCTTTCTACTCTGTAGCATTTGACCATGCCATATAAAGCTTTACTCATTAAGGTGCACCCTTATTCAAGCAGGAAGGTGGATGGTCTTGCTGGTGACAACACTGGAGCCAGGCAGCTGTACTCCACACAGCGGGGCGGGTGACAATTCAGAGCCCTAGGACGAAGGCAGCATTTCCTTCAGAAGTGTAAGATCTATGGCAAATAGAGTCCCCTCAAGATGAGCTTATGAAAAGCAGGTTGGTGAACCAGCACTCTTGCAGGAAACAGGATTTTTTTAATTTACCAAGTCCCACTAATATCCTGGTGCTGAACAGACAAGACAGGGCAGCCTCTAACCTGAGAAGGGCTTTGGAAATTGTCACCTCCAAATGCACAAGCAGAACTGGTTCTCCAACTCCACAGTAAGAGGTGATCCCTTTCTACCTTCTTTATTACGAAGGGGAAAGATATCCAAGATACCCGAGAGGAAGAATTACTTCAGTTGCAAGAGAATTATACAAAGATTACAATATTTAATATTAACCTGGGCAGGCATTTGAAAAGATAATATATTTCCACATTTCCATCTCATTGCAAGCCAAGAAAAAAACCCAAAAACCTGGCTTAACCACACAAGCTGCAGGAACCCCTGGTTCTGTATGACGCTCTGTAAGACCCAATAACCATACATTAATTCATTGCAGAACAGTTTCAAATGCATCCTTCAGCTTATGCTACTGCAGTAATAAAATAAGCACCCAGTCCAACATGGCTCAGTGCTGACTCCACGCTCTAAAAAAATGCCTGAGACATGCGTATTTCAGAGAGATCTGTCAAGTTCCCGGGGGAACGCGTCAGGAAATGCTGAACTGTCACACCAGGTCATGGTGGCTGCTGTAAATACACTGGACTATTGCTTAACAAGTGTCATGAATTCCAGCTTGGGGACAAGAGCCCTCAAGCAGAAAAGGGCATTTTACTTCTCAGAGAGCCCCCCCACCCAGTAGTTTTACTTCAGTTATTTGCTGTTGAATCAAGGAACTGTGTGCAGATAAAGCTCTGCAGAAGGTGACACCTTCATATTAGAAATACACTATCATTTTCTAAGCTCAGAAAACTATTTCCAAGGTGAGATGGAAGGGGAAAAGCAGGTACAACGCTTGAACAACTTAATTGCCCTTTCTGTAATACTCTGGCATATTTGCAATCTGCCAAGTAACAGCAATAAAAACTCTTGTTTCTAAGTCTGGTTACACAGTGAACAGACAGACTGGCCACCCAGCCAAGCAAAGCTATGATAAACGGTTCACAGTGGGGTTGAAAACTAATGGCCCAAGCCCCTACACTGCCACTGGAAGCTTAGTGGCAAGTTTTTCCTCAACTGTGTAACCTAATATGGCAGATGCATCCCCTGTAGTGTAAAAAACAAAACAAAACAAAAACCAAAACCAGACACGCATGGGAATCCATGAGAGAGGTTAGGAGCCATCCAGCTAGCTCAACAAAACCAGCCAGAATTGTACAGTAGAGCCACATGTATCTGAACAAGCCACCCTGAGCTTCACTTTCAGCCAACAGGCATTTACAGGGCACACATCGTTTGAGCCACAGAGCATTTACATTAGGAGAAGATGAAGTACAAAATGAATACTGTTTTTTCTCATGTCCAAACAGAACATTTGCTGACAAACTCAGACAGACATCTGTTTGGTGGCATATGACTTTCACCTAAACAGGACTATAATCACCCTTTGAGAAGAGGCCAGAGCACACAAAACTTCACCTCTCACCTTTGCCAGTCCAGACAGAAGCTCCAGTGCAGCCAGAGAGATACTCATGTCCTGCCTCCACTGTGAGTTGAGTCTTTGGGTTACCAGGTGAATACTACGTATCAGTAGTCCAGCAGCTGTATCTGTATTAAGAGCTAGGATATAACCCAAATATCACATACCACAGGGAGGGAAAATAACTAAGCATTAGTGACAATAAGCAAAGCACAAGCACAAGCCAAAGCAGCCACAATACACACATAAAATAAAAATATACAAAACCCAGAATCTAGAAGTTGGTTTGGTCACTTTTGCACAGGCTAACTCCCTTATATACACCACCAGACATTATACAAATCATTCAGACAAGCTTATCTCTATTGTTTTTAAAAAGACATTTTGGATAATCCCAGTAAAAATAGACCATCTTGTTTTCAGTTCTCTTGTTTGAAGCATCCTGCTTCAAATTCTTTTCATAAATTTCATACACCCTTACCTTCTGTGCATAGGAAAAAAGGTCCAATAAAATGAATATTACAAAAATGTCTTTCAAGTTATGTCACGGTTTAAAGTCTCAATAAGTCAAATATTTAAAAGATTTTTTTTTAATCTTACAAAGGGATATTTTTACAAGGACTTGTCAATGAAAACCCATACAAATTAAACACACAATTCAAATGGTGTGCTGAAAACTAGCACTTTAATAATTTCAAACACAAATCCTGTAGGGAAAGCACCAACATCTTAATATGAACCCCTAGAATACACTGAAGTCTCTCCTACTAGCTCCCTCCTCTCCTTAGTTATAGAACTAGAGGAAAAAAACATTTTTGGTTGGTAAGAAGAGTTGTCAACCTAGGCTACAATATAAAAAAGGTGATCTGTTCTCACATTTATTTGGTCAACATCAGTTAAACTGAAGACCAAAGGCTTAAGTTAAATTCCAGGATCTTGACATTCGGCCAGCTTACCACACACAGATTTAGTAGAACATGAATTTTTTTTACAAAGATTCAAAAATGCATGGTACAAGACATAGCAAACTAATGTTAATTAAGAAATTCTCTTGTTATAACAAATGACACATCACAAGCATTTTGCTTACTTGCTTGATAAAAACAGGAGTCCCCCAAATGCTCTTTAAATATAATTTAAGAAAAGGTGCTGCAAGAGTCAGGCAAGCATTTGGAATGCTACCAAAATGAATGCAGCAAGTAATTTACATTTGGTGTACACTTATCCCATTATTGTTCATGAAAACTAAGTGTCTTGAAAACATATGCTGAAGTAAAGCAGTTAGCAAAAACTTCCTTTTTCATAAGCTTTTACATTCTTATTTCTGAAGTGTTCAGAGTCCCTTAGTAGGATTAAAAAACAACCAACAAAAGGGCACAAACTGGCAACAAACAAAGGGGCTATCCACCCTGGGTTCAAAACACCCATGCATATTAATGTGTTAGCCAGAATTAGGAACAAAAAAAAACCGCAAAAAACATCACCCTGGCATATAGTGACAGAGGTTTGTTTTGGTGTTTTGTTTTTTTTTTCCAGAAGAGCTATCCTTACCATAATCCCTCAGAAGGGCTTGTGCCGGTCTCTCACTATCTGGTGTTGTGGGCTCCGTACTGCCTCCACTTGCAGTGCTAATGCCACTGTTAGTACGACTGTGGCTTTTAAAGAGGTTGTTTTCACCACCGTTCTGCAAATTGAAAGTCAGTTTTGAGCGATGAGAAGATTTTTCTGAGTAGAGTTCCCTATACCAGAGGATGCTCTCAGATACAATGGAGAAAAAAAGATGATCAAACCTCAAGATGCTAACTGAGCACCTTACAACAGCAGATAAAATGACTAATGCATTCTTTCTGAAGTGGTAACTTCATAAACAAAAAATACTTACCATTTCCATCTGACAGCCAATGGCTTCCAACAGTGCTGAATCTTGAACAATATTTAACATTGCACCTGAAGAATCAGATATGAGAAGGTAACTAAAGACCGCAGTAGAATATTCACTGCTAAAATTTACAAAGAAGCACTGAAGGTCTAACATACAGGATTGCCATCCTGTTTTATAAAAACTCTTATAAAGAGTTTTATAAGACACAGAATTTGCTTCAGGCTTTTTTTTTTGGAGCAGATGAGAGCTGAGAGAGAGTGCTTTCAGCTATTTTAAAAATGCTTTGAACATAGGTTTTTCAGATTCCTCAGTTCAGAAGGATTTTGGTTTCACAGAAGGGCTGGAATCATTCCTTGTCTCCCATCAGATTGTGCTAATTTAAAAACTCAGGTTACATTTAAGGGTATCTACTGACTCTGTGAATAAAATAACAGTATTTGTTAGATAACTGAGAGCGCTAAAATGAGCTGTGTAGCCCAAAGCCACCTCAAGGGTTATACAGTGCTGGCCTTGGCTACATTCTTCCCTGGCACAAAGAGGCTCCCTTCCCCAGTTTGGCCACTAGGAGCCAAAAGGCAGCTAGTGACTGGCAAACAAAACATGTTTTCAAGTCTTAATGAACTAGCAGTACAGACAACGACCTGCTGGAAGATAAAGTGAATAATGTCTGGTCCATTCAGCAACCCTTAAGACATCAGCGCAACGGACCACACTTGTTCTCATACTGATCTGTGATGAAGGAGTTTTATTTTCATAAAGACATTTCTGTCCCTGCCCCACAAAAAAAAAGGCTAATATTTGCATCATTGATAATTTGTGGGTTTGTAGAGCAAATTAAAAATTGCTTTCATTTCAATCTGGCTAAAATATAAACACAATTTCCTAAATCAGGAGGCCAGTGCATAATCTGAGGTGGGATACACTGAAATTCTCTCTACCTGGAAGTCATCCCCAGCCTCTCACTTTCCGTGCTTTGTTTTCCATCAGTACCCAAAATACTGTATTGAGAAAGCTGAAGCTCTAATTGCAGGGGTTAGCCAACCCTACTGCATCCAAACTAGCCAGCAGGTAGTCATCTCTTTCATCTTGAGAGAGACAACTACACACAAGTGTAACACACTGTTAAATTAAAATTGCCAATGCATTCAGGGTGCCTTAGGTCAACTTGCATGAACAGCCTGTATCTGCCTGGCAGCACCACCCCCAGGCGACGAGGAAAGAAACAGTAGACCTGTAACAGGCTGACACTGATGCACTCAGTGGCATCAATTTTAATTTGCTACTCCCTCCCAATGACTGTTTAGGAAAACACCACTTGCTATATGAAGGGAAATGCACCACTCGCTGTCAAAAATTTAGTGAGCAACTGGAAACAAACACTGATTTTATTGAGAAGCTGGTGGCATGTGTGAGAATCTGGCTAAACTGGAGATCCATGAATCCTTTCCAACTAAAGCCAGCAGGAGATAAACTCCTGTTTCCATATGTGAAGTTAACAACAGAAATACAGGGGAGATGGACTGGTATGGACTATCATGGAAGTAGTAATGGTAAAAACCATTTGAGGCAGAATCATAGAGGTTGGAAAAGACCTCTAAGATCATCGCGTCCAACCGTTGACCCAACACCACTACCCACTAAACCATGTCCCTAAGTGCCTCATCTACTCAAGAGCATCTACCCAGCCGGATGCAAACACCAACTCGCAGCAGAGGCGTACAGGAATGCATGGGTAGGATTTAACAGAGCATCACCCCATGGTTCCCAAGGTGGTGCAACCCCCTGTGCACCGATGCTCTGTAGGTCTCGCTTGGAGGATCACTTTGAAACCATAAACATCCTCATCCCTTCACCAGCAGTGGCTGCAAATCATTCTTTCAAATCATTCTCCCTTAGACTTCCACTAGTAAAGAAACTATCTCAACCACTGCAAGGAAACTTTCCAAAAGTCTCTGCAGACTGGATTTGTTTCCCTTCACTTCATCACTCATGCCATTTTCTTTCCCTCCCCTATTAATCAGGTAGGCTCTCCCAGAACAAGGCAGACACCTCCCACCACAGTGCAAGTCTGTTCCCTTTTTAAACAGACAAAAGGAAAGTGGTATTGTAATTACTGAAGGACAAGAACACCATAATGTGGAAAAAGGCACTTCTAAATAAAGAGAGAAAAATACGGGGGGGAGAGGGGGGCGGGAATAAAAGGCAAGTACATTTTTTACTGGTCTGAAAATATATTTAGCTCGACAGATTATGCACTATTCAAGTTTTCAGCTTCTACTTACTTTCTGAGTATTCAGAATAATGTTAATACACTCATTACCTCAAAGAACAGGTTGTTGCCGAACTATGATGCATCTCCAGACTCTATTCCAAAGCTTTTGTCTGAGGATTTACACAGTGCTAAACAAATGTCATCTGTATTCTGCCAGTGCTGGACCACCAGTCACCCAGTATTTCAGTTTGTTTCTAGGCTTAATCGTACCAAAAAACGAAAGCGTTTCCTGTAACCCGTTAGTCAAGAATCCTTCCCAATATTAAAACAACATTTTTTCCTATTTCGATTCCTAGTTATGACTGACTTTTCCTGCTGGAATGCGCTTTACTTCCACCTCTACTTTTCAAGTACTATTCCACATTTCTAAAAAGAGAGAGATTACTTTAACGAAAAAGTGAGGCTTTTCAAGATGTTCCCATAGTATGAGGGAGATTATACAGATGACAACCTGCCAGGAATTTCATCTTTTTTCTTGCAAAGCAACACATGACTAATAATCTGTCCTGGAATAATTTGGTTTAAGACAGACACTTCTATAACACAGTTAATAAATAAAAAAGTTGAAATAACCTAGTATCATTTGAGTGTTGTTGGGATCTGTTTCCGTTTGCAAAGCTCCTATAAGTATATTCACAAGCCTCAGCTTCAAGGAAAGGAAGGTTACTGGCTTATCATATGTTGAGCTGTCATCATTGCTGAATTTCCCTTCCAGGACAACCTAAAGGAAAAATACATTTATTTCAGTATCAATTAGAGATCACACCAGCATGGTATTGGTTTCAAAAGTCAATATCCACAGCATACATTGCTACTGACAACTTTTAATACAGTCGCTCTAAGAATTTCAGTGCTAAATAGAACACCAAATAAAACCCACAAGTCATCCAAATCCCACTCCAAAACAACCAGGAAAACAAAAATGGAAACGCAAAACAAAGTGGTAAGTTTACTACCTCAGACTTTATGGTTCCAAAGTGATGAGGGAGAGGCAACAGAGACAGCAAGATGTTAATCGAAGCTCTTCTTAGCTCTGTGGGGTTTACATAGATTTTAAACTTTGAGAGTTCTCTGCAAATCAAAGCATCATACAGTTAATCAACTTTACACAGGCATTTGGAGCCAAATTTAATTAAGTTAAAATTAAACATACAGCCACCCAGTGGTCTTAAATAATTTCCAGTATACAATGTAGCTGTTTCTGTCTAGGCTCAGGATTTTTTTTTTTTTTTTTTTTAAACAGCAGCAATAACACAATGAATTCATGCAGGAACCATCACTTGCTAAGGATTCTGTACCCCATACAAAAGCAATGAGCTGATGAAAGTATTATTCATATACTGCATCTTCAAAGCAGGAAGTTTCGGTCATGAGCCTCTACTGGCTTATTACAACTCAAACCCACCCAGGATTATCAGAGATCCGCAGAATATGCTCATGCACATATTGCATAAAACACCAGCTGCCTAGCAAACAGATCAACTTTTGTCAATAGCCACCAGCAAATTCTTCTACTCCTAAGACCTGTCCAAAAGAAGCAGTGGCTCAGATTTAAGCCCAGAAGATAAATAATACTTTATGCATAACTTCAAAATGAAATGCAGTACCAAGACATAAAACGTATGTTGAAGAAGGCATGCACAGAGTAGTATTAAGTTAGCAAAACATCCAGAAATCTATAAAGCTCTGACAAATGAGGTTCTCTCTTCTGGTTTAAGAATCTACTCCAATTTCACCAGCCTGTCTAAATTATCAATTTTTCTATTTAATGATGTGTAAGATTACTGTCTTAATCAATTCACTGCAGCAACAGCCACTAATGAATATCCTGTGAAATTTTACTTAAAAATCAGTAGGCTTTCAATATATTTGAGCTAAATCACTCCTTTTCCCTATTCTTTCCATCAGTGAATATATAGATAACAACTCACATATTTCATTTAAAATAAGCACTACTGTTGCTTTAAAGAAAATTGCATTAAGTAAAATTAAAAATTAGAGCTTATGAAGTGCTGCTATTATCACTATCAAATACATACACAGTGTGGGGCCCACATTACAGAATTCCTTCAGTGAAAGCTACTCAGGAATGACAGAAACCCCAGAAGATAAACACCTCCCCACATTTCTGATGATATTTATATGGAAATAGCAATTTACCTGTCAGGTAAAATAGTTTCAAGAGCCGAAATGAAATAAGGAACCACGACATCAATCCCTTTCAGGTCACAGCAGAACAAAGGAGGGGAGTTTAAAATAACACTGGCAAGAACGGGGTGGCAAATGAAATCTGCTATCTGCAAACCCTGAATTAAAAGCATGTAAAATCTGACAAAGAAAGATAAGATTAAATTATTTGCACATAAAAAGCATCAGCATCCCACATGAACAAGAATGTGCAGCCACTATTTGATCTTTTCTATATAAAATAAAGTTTCAAAATCAGAGCTAGGAAACATTTATATGAGCTTTCCCCCCAAGTTACTTTAGCACAGGCAAACACACCTAACCAGCTTAACAAAAAACCCCTCACAAATCACATGTATTTCATGTGAAAAGCCAGTGCAGCACAATTTTATTGAAACCTCTGACTTTTTGCAACACACGGACTGGGAGCTGTGCAAATACAGCCCAGATGTTTACTAACAGTGCTTGGATCATGTGCTCTCCCCACTACTCCCTTCCCCATGTAAGGATGGGAGTGAGACCTTGATTTTAACTCCCCAACACAAGAAAAATACTACGAAATCTTTCGGGGGCAGGGGGAACAGGACAGGACACACTAATCAGCAATTTGGAAAATGAGACTAAACATAGCCATCATAACCAGTTCACAAATGAAAAAGCAGGGGGGCAGGAACCTAGCTGGCCATCATCCTAAAGCAGTTAGTTTCTTTTGCAGTTTGGAAACAGGTTGGAAAAGATTTGGGTTTTTTTTTTTTTTTTTTTTTTTTTCTAAAAGGCTTGCAAACACAGAGGAATCTCACTGACTGGGTAAGAGAAACACAAGCTATCTATACACAAAAAATTACAACATGCAAGAAAACATAGTTCAGTCTTCCAGGAAGTTTTGATGCCATCTGGGACAAATGTATCTGAACAGTTTGAGAGAGTCATGATTTAAAGTTGATTCTCGGCCTCTAGCCTTTACTATTTCACTTTTTAACAAAAATTTGGAAAAAAGGTACACTGATAGGCAAGATTGCCTTATTTTATTAGAAATAAAACTGTAAGCAGAGGTAGTTCAGAATACAACTGTTTTAAATAATGGAATATTAGTGCATTTCTATATTTAAAGAAAAAAAAAAACCAACCCACAAACACATTCCACCCCAGTGTTGTGGTGTTTGACAACATAAGTCTAATTTTTAGACATGGTCTAATAAAATGTCCGAAGTCTCACGTCTGCACACTCATTTTTTCCATGTGAACAATATTCAGTGACAAATTAAAAAAAACACCAAACCCAAGAGTTCCTTCCAGCTGGGAGGCACTTTAAGGGACCTCCCTTCAAATGGAACTTGAAGAAAACCCAATGAAAACCAGCATCATGAGAAGATGAAAGGAAATCACTATTCGGTTTAGCCAGGAATCCCCACCTACAGCATCTGAAGGCTAACTGTTTTTTTTTGAATTGGCAACACAAGACTCAGACAGTAAATGAATGCTATTCACAGTGAATTAATTTGCACCATAAAGTTATACCAATAAAGCAACTGGAAGATAGGTTAGTACCGGGATAGGTAAGCTGGCAATATTTCCTCCCCAGTCTTCTTGCTACAAAATATCCTACACAGTGTCCCGCATGCCTCTGCCCTTCCCGCTTCATAGTTGTCTGGGAATTCACTCGCATCAAACATGGGGTTGGAAGCCACCGTGTCTGTGGACATTTGCGATCCTTTCCGGCGAAACTCCACGCTAGCTTGAGTTGCTATAGCTGGGAAGAGAAAAAACAGTGTTTCACCGCTTTTGTTAACATATATAATAGGCTCATGGGATCCTGGACACAAAGATCAAGTCAAATTTAGTAGTTATCATGAAGCTGTTAGTTCACTATATTGGAGTCAGTGCCTCTGTTTAGAAAGTATTTGTGGGTGTAACTAACTTTTTCTTTATAAGGATGACAACAACTGACCTTCATATTCTAGAGCCTGTCCCAACTTTCTGCTGGGAAGAGTATGCTTATATCCAATATTAGCTTCCTACCCTCTCTGAAGGACAAGGATCTTCCCTCACCTAGTTCTCATCTCCAGAAAAATGAAGTACCACCTTGCGCCTTGCTCCTTTAAAATGCCAAAAAAAAACCATTTAGACAGTGCCATTACTGAGACCTCCAAGCAAGTGCTTAATTTTCAACTGGACAACTAATCTCTTATGCTGCTCTAACACCAAATTGCTTTGATCCAATTTTGTTGTATAAACATACTTATTAAAAAAAATCCAAAAATTCTAAGGACCCATATCAGAAAGAGAAGTTTGCTGAAACCCACTCTCCTGATTCAGTCCCTTTCTCCTCACATGACTACTGAAATCACCAAATAAATCTGAGGTTAGACAGCCTCCAGACAGCAGCTACCAGGGAGGCTGGCCCTCTCCTACTCCCTATCCCACAATACGCTCCACAAAAGTCTCTCAGGAGCCCGCTGTTACCTACACGGGACGCGGTTCTGCCGAGCTTTGTGCTCCCTCCCTGCAGGACAGTTCTGCCAGCCCAAACCAGTTGAATTCATGTCTTTCTAGAGAGATTTCTGGTCCCCTTTGACACATCAGTATCATGTGCATACGATGCAGGAGGCCACTCGCTTTGCTGGCTTCATCCTTTCTTCCAGGATAATAATCAAAAAAAGATACATTGCTCTCAAGGTGATTTTTTTTTTCCCCCTGCTTTTTTCGCTTTTTCCTTGGACAACTTCACTCTTGGATTACTAACGGCAGAAAGAGCACGCTCCTTCTTATTTTTAGCTAAGACTATGTTGATTTTCAAAACTTTTATAAGCTACAAAACCAAACAACAGATAATGTGTGCTCCTAACAGAATCATGCCAATGTAGTTCCACCAGTACCAGAGAACTTCCTCTATCTCAAACCTGGGACACTGGGGAACATCAGGTTCACAATCAGTCTTGCAAACAAAGACCCATTAACACTTCGACAGTTGGAATACTTGTTAATTTACAGGTAGGGGGGTTTTTTTGGTTTTTTTTTGTTTTTTGTTTTTTTGTTTTTTTTTTTTTTAAAGGAAACGTCCTAATGACAAGTGTCTAACTCTTAATTTTGTCTTTAAATTCGTGTTTTAACCTACTGTTACCTTACAAATTTTCATGACATAAGTAGCAAATAAGCACAAATCTTTATGCATCTTCCCATGAGCCATTTTTTGTCCTAAATAAACTACCCAGCAATATATTGTAGTTGGAAAAAAACACTACATGCACAATGCATACAAATCAAACACTAGGTCTGTAAAATAAGCTTTAAGTAAAAAAAACATGGTTAGTGCAAAGTCCTGAAACTCATGACATGATCACAGACTAAAGTACAGAAAAGATGGGACTGATTCAGGCAGATTAATTTGCTTTTGCCAACAATCCTCCCCATTCAAAAACACACACAAAAAAATTACTTGTCTTTTTCAAGTAAAAGTGCAAAAGCTACAAGAGACAATGAGAATGAATTTACAAATAAAATATGGGATTATGGAAAAAGAAAAGCATGACCGCAATTAAGGAAAAGCTACTGGTTCCTACTTACAAGATTTATAAGAAAGAAGAATTTGGATAAAAGATGCTGCAAGATAATAGAAATAAAATGGAAACAAATCAAAGGACAGCAGTAGTTATAAAATACTTTTAAGATGGTGAAATCGTAATATAAGTTAAGAAGCTTTTAGCTTTTTTAAAAAATAGATTAAAAGCTTTATGATATAGCAAGCTCGTTAAACACATAGGAAATTGGCATTCAGGTCCAAAATTATGGTTTTGAAAGTACCATGCAAAACAATGAACAAAAAGTTACAAAATACTAATAAGATTTAGAGCTGTTCATATCAATGTACATCAGTCCTTTAAACGGATGTATTAACCCTTCCCAGCTCAAGTACCTTTCCCTGTGTTGCACTGTATACGGAGTACACACCAGGCTGTGCTAAGGCTTCTGTGACGTGGGGTATGTCTCGTAGGGGGAAGGTTACTTACCTGCAGAGTCTTCTCAAGGCAATACTCCTGCTTCCAAACCGTGAGTTCCTGACCGTATTACAGCTCTGTCTTCCCTAACCCAAGTTGCTAACAACCCTTAACAGCAGCCAGTATACCCAGGCATGCCTCCCCTGACCACCAGCTCAATCAACAATCTTCCAAAGCAGAAATAAAAGGCAGAACACTACCAGAAACATCAACATCTCAAAACCAATCTCCAGCAAAAGAAGCGAGGAAAGACTCCAGTAGCCAGGTACCAGGAGAGAATGCCACTACCTCATAAGCGCTGCTTCATTGAGCATACAGGGTCAGATCAAGACCTGTGACCAGGCCTCTCAGCAATACTCAAGATGTCCCTAATCAGGGCTGCTTATAGTTTGCTCCTAGACCCCCAGAAACATTCTTTGGGACATTAATATTAACGACAGTAGGGCCAGAAGAGATGAGGGTAAAACTATACCCCAAGACTCCCCCACTGCCAACAGCACCTGGGCGATACCAGCAACCCTCCTAGGTAAGACTGCTTCAGCTGCTGTAACACACACAGCTGGCAGGCTTGTGACTGACTTCTTTAGGTACAAGGATTAAGAATGAGCCCATCAAATTGGAAGATTCAGTCGCTGAAATGGTGGCACAAGGTATTCATGAGCTTCTCCCAATTCTCAAAAGTTGCTGAAGACGGCAACTAGCAGCAGCATGCACCGTATGGCCAAGCTTGTCTAACTGAAACACATCCTGCCAGTGAAGCTACACACGGCACATGTACACACACCCCAGAGCTGCCATATTCAGGGTTAACTTCATAAAGGCTTCATAGTGAATTTCTTATGAAAGAGTTCTCAAGTACCAATCACAGGGAGCTATTTATGCCACACTAACAGCTAAATAAATACCATGCAGCCATCTAATTCTAAAGACTACACCAGCAGGATGCAGTTCCTTTCAAACCAACTACGCATTTTCGAACAGATCATTTTTCCTCTCTCGCCACAATACAGAGTAATGTTCATTAGCTGTCAGCCATAAAGCTTCACCATCAAGGTCTCAGTGGAGAAACTAAAGCCTGATACAGGACAGTCGAGGCACAAAAGCATTACACCAACAATGGCAAGATCGCTGTTTTGCTTCAGAATCCAAACACCACCACAAGACTATCTTGAAGGACGGGGCTCAGAGCAAACAGGAAGACTGCTTTCCAGGTGATAAACTCCACCAGTACTCAGGCATATACAGATGACCTCCAGCTAATCTTGTGGGAGAGAACAAGTCTCTTTTCCCAAAGAGAGACAGACAAAACCACAGCAACCACAAACGTGAAATACGTACAATTACCCTGAATCATGCAAGGGTTGGTACAAGAAGCTTACTAATGAAGATGGTAGAAAATTGAACCACAGTGGGGCACCAGTTATATTCACAGAACTAGAGAAGAGTTGAGGCTGGAGGAGACCTCGAGATGATATAGTCAGTGCTACCCCCCTATCCCCCTAAAGCAGGGTCAAGTGGAACAAGCTCAGTTACCCTTCCACCCATCCAGACATTTTTTTCAGCTCAGAACCTACAAAAAGCTGCACATTTTTTCCACCACTGTCATTTTTCTTGACTTCCTTTCTGGAGGTTAAAGAGTCCGAGAAGTAAGATATCTCCAGGACAAGGAGAAAAGCAAGGGTAGATAGGTACTCATTCACATCAGCTTTGATCAACAGCTCTTCACTTCCTAAAGCTCATCAAAAAGACTTATGTTGTAAGATGGGAGAAGGATGATGTGCTAGTCCATGTGAATCAGCAGGGTTTGTTTAAAAGAACTGAACTAAATTCTGAACTAGAACTTGAGACCACAGCTCATCCACAGAGTTACTTGTTAGACACTCGCATTCAGCTCAGGAATAGCTCTTTAGAGATCATGTCTCATGGGTTCTCATTGAGAATGTGTCACATGACAGAAGAGGAATAAGAAACACATGCTAGAAAATGCAGTGTTCCACAAAGGTGTCCCATGGCAGGGGAACTCTCTGCAGGACCAAGGAGCAATCTGTATCAAGATATTTCGCCACTTCCTTTTTCAAAGTGGTCCTCAATCTTCCAGCCAGCAATGAAACAGAGAAATCGTATCGGAGAGCTATGAGAGAAGAAATTCTTAACTGCATGGCATTGAAACAAACTGAACATCAGAAGGGTTTAAAGCTGCTGAGATCTTATACAGCTGCAGTCCCAGACCTAAAAAAAATAGTACGTGTGGGCCAGTGGAAGACAGTACTACATAGCAAAGCTGATTTTAAGTAAAGACACTTCCCAATCATAAAACATTTAAAGCATCCATAAAAATAAAAGTGCTTCCTGAAGCTAACGCAAAGATTATCAACAGCAGTGTCAAACATGGTAAGAATATTCAAGCTAGTATCAAAAGCGTTACTGTACCAGGCTACAGAGGATAGCAGGTGGACCATGATATACAAGTATATAGTCAACCTGCAGCCAAAAAGAAGTCTTGTAACAGGCAGATTTATTTTTATCCTCTTTCCTAAGGGTAGGGATTGTGGCAGCTAACTGTCCCTTCTCTGCTGCCCTCTTTCTTCAAGCCACATCTATATTGGGTAGCATGAGCAGAGGCAGGTGGATGGGCACAACATGCAGATCTGATTATTACTGATGGGCCCTACTCGTGTGATGGAGAGGGACCACAGTACACAACCCTCCTGGGCCACCTCATCAGTCCAGCACAGCACCGCCTGCCTTACACTGTTCAAGGAGGAAGAGACTTCACCTGGAGGCATCAGGCTTCACAGATTAGACTCCCAGAACAGAAGCTTTCAATTTGGACTTAAACCTGGTTTAAAAGACACCGATGCTTCAAGCCAACAGAAACTGCAGAAGCCTAGCGCTTTACAAGTCTTGCTACATTTTCTCACCTAAAGCAGAGGCTGAGCAAAAGGATTTATCCAAAAGGATAAATCAGGCAATACGACTTTAGTGCCTCTCTACAAAGTTTCAGCAGTATGGGTCCATCTTCAGTTTGCTCTCGTCTGACAGCCTGCCATGGCATTGCTGTGACCAGTACTTTACACAGCGGTAACAACACTCATGGCATCCTGGAAGAGCAGCAAACACTTGACTAAATTCCTAAGTTAATTCTGTCTTCCAAGTTGCTAGAAAAGCGGGACATAACACAGCCAGTTTTCTGGGTCTCCACCAATGTAATTCTCTCAGATCCACTGCTGCTAATAAATGGCAGAACATGTGACGTGCAAGGACTGGTCTCACTATGGACAGCTCTGAAGAGCATGGAGGAGGAACAGATTTCCCAATAGTTGTTTCTAGTTTTCAGGAAGGTAGTAAGTCCCTCTGTAAGGCTAGCAATATGACAATTTTCTGACTGCTGTTAGGCAACTTAAGACATTGCATATACGAATAGAAGGCCCTGGAACCCCTTCAAGGAAGTCAATTGTTTTGATTTTGAATGACTGTGTACTTCTGCTAGAATCACAACACCTCTGTTTACAGATGACACTTGCATAAGCAGCATCTCAGCTGACATCCTCTTCAGGTTAAGCACTTCATTAAAATTGCTCAAGGTACAGGTTATGTCAAAATTAAAATCATAGAATCATAGAATCATTCAGGTTGGAAAAGACCTCTAAGATCATCGAGTCCAACCATCGACCCAACAC